AAAAAAAGAAAAGTATATGCAATAAAGCACAGAACGTTCGCTCTTGATTCAACGTTTCTTCTTTGCTGGACGCTTCAGCGCGTTTTCCATCTTTTAAGTAGCCGATTTTCTTCTCGAGATCCTTGTCCTCTACCACATTCAGGTAAAGCCAAGGTATACCGCGCTTGGCTGACCTAGTTAAACATAGGTAGAAGAATCCTCCAGAGAACTATAGGCTTTAGGAAAGGAGAGCCTCTCCATGTTAGGAGTTTCCCCACTTCCAAATTCCGAAACGGCTAGTTTTGCTGGAAACTTGCTTATATAAACAAGAAGCTTAGATTGCAAGGTGTTGTTGTTGGGAAGCTTGTCCAACAAATCCAGGAATGGTTTCAGAGAACAAAGAAATGAAGTCGTTGATTTTTCGTTGCAGTCCGTCAGTCTGATTCGTTTGGAAAGCTCTCATTTTGTTTTTTTGTTCATCAGAGCACTATTTTTTATTTACGAGTTTTGGTATTCGTTCAAGACGTGGATGGAATTTATGGGAAAGTGCTTTCGTTCAGTTGCTCCCCAAATGATACTTGTATCCATTTCTGATCGTGGATCTTTCCGTTCACACTTATCGAAGACGGGAGGAAACGTACGTAACTGCGCATAAACTATTCAAGCATGAGAAGGTGTTAATCAAAAGTATAAGTTTCCTTCATCTCCCGCTTCTCGATTTCAATTTGTGTTCGAGCAAAGTTTAGCGATGATGCGTCATAGTTTGAGTTGCATAGTTTCAGTCTGAGAAAATGAGCTGAACTAAAACATAAAAAAAAGATATTATTTGTTGTCATTAGTAAATTTCGAGCTGGGACAATAGATAACTCCATTTCAACATGCAAATACGAAATATTTAGTTGAGATTCACGGAGACAACATTGAACCTCTCTCAGCGGGACCTTTTTTCCCAGAATTTTTTTGATTAATAAATGTCTTTCATGTCCTTTTATGGCTAGCCTTAAAAAAACACATTTCAAATTCGAAAATTCGTTATTTTTGAGTACACAGGCAGTAATTTGAACCGAATGCATATAAGCATTTTTGTTTTTGGTTTTAATCGCATTCATACGTGGAAAATTCAAAATTCACAAATTATAAATAGAGATGTATCTCTCAACCATTTTTTTTACTTTGCTGCAAGTTGATCCGTCTAAACAATGTTATGCTTAGTCCCCTTCTCTCCAATTTTTCTTTCGCTCAAGTTTGACGTGTCTGCATAGATTTGTCCGCAATTGCGTCACCATTCTTGCGCGAATGATTTCAGCTTTACCGCTTCAGGTGATCTCATTCTCGTTGACAATAGAATTTTGTTTACAAATTCACTTTCAAGGTTTTCTTTTCT